GTATCACCAATTTGAACTTATTATTCCTCTAGTTTTATTTTTCCAGATAAATTCACCACCACGTCCTCGACACCCAAATGATTTTTTTTTTTTTGACTGTTTTACTATTAAAGAAGAGAAAGTTGTTGCTTTTATTATTACAATTACGCCTCTTAGGAATAAAAGAGCTAAAAGATTTTCACTTACGAGGTCTATCAGCACAAATAAAATTAGAGGGTAGATAGGTATAAAACAACGATGCTACATTATGATTGGAAGAGCTAGACCTTTAATTCTCTTGAATATTTCTTACAAATGGCGAGTACAACATAGGAGCCCAATCCCTAGTGCGTAAATATAAACACAATAGAGACGACTAAAAGGGATGTGTTAACCACTAATCATTTGAAGAACCACAAGAATTATCTAGCTTGGTTTTCTCTACGTCATCAAGTTTTGTTCCGAGCAAACATAATCATGTGCCATTTTCATGTAACCGAAGTGCTTCAAGTCAATACACAACGTATCCACATACTTATTAGGTGCTTGTCAATTATTACTTTTATCTTGCGTGAGATCTTCAATTAAATTGAGAAGTATGAATGAATCTAGATAATACAGGAATAGACGATAGTTTATGTCTTCATCTACTTTTCAAAATGGGCCCATTGATTGTGGATCGAGCTTTGTTTGCTAATCCGTACAGCCTTGGGCCACTCATGTGATGGTGGACCCTGCTATCTGCCTTTCGAACTTTTGGGGCTGTTACGCTCATATATTATTTCTGATGTGTGGTATGGATCTAGAAAATTACATACTCAAAATCATCATGTTTATTTTATAATGAATATTAAATTATATTTTATATAAAAAATAAAATCTACTTAAATATTATTTGGCTGCAAATGCATTTTGTTAAGGATATGTGACCAGAACTATAAATCCGAGTGAAATTAGCATAATTTCAGGGGATCACAACATGTACATCTATACTACGTGTCAACCTTAATTTCGCGGCATGAAAAATAACAAACAAATAATGTATTTAATAATAATCTAGGGTTTTAAACTTGTAGGTCTTCAATGCAAAACCCACAAAATACATGGCAACAAACCAGAGCTGCTTTTTGGCTCGCGGCCGCCCAACTCGCGGGCAGCTCGCAAGAGCCAAAACAGGGGGTGGGGCCCCCCTTGGGACGGTCCCACAGGTAGGCCTGTTTATCGGGGCTGGCCGAAACCCGGCCGGGCCCGGATTGAGCCGACGGAGCCCGGGTACCCCGGGCCGGAGAGGTTATACTTATATACTTCACTATGATACTAAAGAGAAGAGTATATACTATTAACAGTATGACATAATTATATATTTAAATATAGCATAATTATTAATATACGATATAATTATCATTCTTAGACATAATATACAACCATATAAAAAAATAAAAAAAAAATAAAAAAAAATTCATATTCGGGCGGAGTGGCAGCAAAAAGCCGGCCCGGGCCCGGGCCCGGAGACCGGATCTTGGCGTGTGTTTCGGGCCGGGTCGGCGGCTGGCTGGGACCGGTTTTTGGACACCTTTACCTCACATCACAGGGGGGCCCCACCCCCCTGTTTTGGCTCTTGCGAGCTGCCCGCGAGTTGGACGGCCGCCAGCCAAAAAGTTTTATTGGGAACAAACTACCCTTATAGAGTCTGGAGTGGGACCCAGAACTAAGGATCGTGATGTGGATCCACGATTCAAGAAATGGGCTCAAGTCCATAGTCATCGTGGGCCAGTATTTGTATGGCCCGCTGTGCCAAATTACAATGGTGCACTAAAGTGTACGAGAAAATGACTGCAACGGAAAATATCGCAAGGTGCGCTGAATATTACAGTCGCCAAGTAATTATTCTCTCATCATGCATATACTTGTATCAACAAATGAGAGTCAGGGCACCTCAAAAGGTTTACTTTGTTGCTACTTCGGAAGTGATACATCCTTATTTTTGTCTAGGAGCGTGACCAATACTCAGCAGCAGAAGCTTTAGAGACACCTTGACTTGTGAAGAAGCTAACAAAACTTCCTCCTGTCACTATTCATTAGCGCCCGAAACTCGTACAATGCATAACACTTGCCAAGTGAAACAATACATCATCTTTCAAGAAAAATTGTAGCATACTAAATTTCTCATCAAAACCGATAGTTACTACCCGGTCGTAACAATGAATCTCAGTCAAAACTCAAAATTTTTTTTTAAAAGAATAGCTGTGCCTTCAATGAAATATATGAAAGTGAATGATTGTCAGTAAATCCAACCGTTGAGTAGTTATCTTCTTAGAGAACTGGCTCACATGCGACTCGAGTCCCTCCCAAAGACGAATCTTCTCATCCAATCAGATACCACGAGGAATCTTGTGCGCCAACTGACTTGCTTGCTGGTGCAGGATAAGGAACACTTGAAGAATCAGTATCAGATAGCCAAAGGCAAACTTGTGCTAGTAAATATGCAATATGCTAAGTTTTATGATCTGAAGTAAGATGCTATTTGAAGTTAAGAATCGGTATCAGATAGCGAAAGGCAACCTTGTGCTAGTAAATATGCTAAGTACTATGATTTGAAGTAAGATGCTATTTTATTTTTTTTTCCCCTTCGTATGTTACTATATATGATGGTGAAGAGATTTATTAAATTATTATATCGAATTGGAAAAATATGCAGAAAAGTAAAGGGAGGATTACCTTGCGTATACAGAATACCAGAGCCATTGACTGCTATGGCCTATAGAAATCCAATCTCCTGGCAGTTGTGCAGCTGTTTGCTCCCCACCAAGCGGAGCAAATTGGCCTAAATGCCTATACCTTCACACAGAAAACAGAAATATTTCAGAATCTCTCTTTGAAATTTAAGTAGAGAACAATGTATGAATCTATAAAGATTGACTAAAGGAAGGAAGTGAGGTGCCTGGTGCTCCTATATTAAACTTTAAGATGAGAAACCCAGAAAGCTACAACGCACTCCAATGACAAATGAGGAAAGTTAATTGTGTTTGTTAAAGTATAAAATTATAACTCTCGCAAAACTTCGGAATTTTGGTGTAGAACCTGAGCAAATACGGTTCAAATTTTTCTAAACATGAATTTCTAAAGCATTTTTTTAATTAAAAAAGACACCAGTTGTAATAATACAAAACATAACATAATGTAAACATAACATTGGAATGTAACTTCATTGGTAATTGTGTGAAGAAATAAATATAGAAACGGCGAAAACATTTGAGAAGATAAGGAAAAATAGAGCTGACAGACATTCGGGTGCTCTCCGGTCAACCGCGAGCATTGGCACGGTCGACCGGCAACGTGCACGACTTAGTACTGATTCTAGATTTTTGGCCAGTCGACCGCGACGATTTCGACGGTCGACCGCCAGACACTGTAATTGAATTTTGGGTTCTATCGTTCTGTCCGGTCTACCGCGGCGTCCAGTGCGGTCGACCACAATTTGTGTTTGGGGCTGATTTCGTTTTCCTGTTTGGTTTGGGTTTGATGTTTGATATAAATTCAAACACACGTTTTAGGGTTTCGTTGGAGCAGTCAAGAGTTTGTTTTGGGCACAGAAAAGAGATCTTTCTGAGCTATTGGTTAGGTTTGAGAGATTGAGAGCTTTGTTTAGAGATTTTAGATCTGATGGAGCTGCTTCAGATTTTGGGATGCTTCAGATATTTGATTGCCCAGCATATGGTCACATCGAGGATGTGAGATTTGATCTGAGTGCACATTTGGGATTCAGATGCTCGTTTGGTTATCAGATGAGTGGCTCTGATTTTATTCTGAGCAGGTATATCATATTTGACTCTCGGCAGGTTGAGAGTGTTGATCAGATCGTTGGGATATCACAACGGGTGGAGGGTGATGCTACTCTACTTTGGGTGAAGATTACTCCACATACTCCAGATCATACTGCATCGTTTAAGATTTCAACTGAGGTGACACAGTTTGGGGATCATATTGATGTGGATGCAGATAATGAGTTGGTTGATTCGAGTGCAGCTGGTAGACATAGTTTGGATTTGGATATGACCGTTGGTTCACCTCAGGTGAAGATGTTTGGTTTGTTTCACTTTGAGGCTATTGAGAGAGCTATTAGCCGCAGATTTGTTGGTGAAGAGTTGAGAACTCTTCTATTGGATTGAGGGCATTTGGAGGGCATTTGGAGAACTACGTGAAGGCTAGATTCTTTGGGTAAGAAGATACGTAGATAGTCATTTTATGATGCATCCGACTTGGTGAGTTAATACCGATATTTGGAGATTGTTTGCATTCTCGTTTGGGTTCCCGACTTGTTGTGGATTGAGTCCGTTGTGATTTTGTTTTACTTCATACTGGACGCAATAAGTGAGATATTTGGTTTGGTTGGTGTCGGCTCAGTTTTGAAAAAACTTCGCCGATGTGAAGAATTGTAAAAACGGCGAAAACATTAGAGAAGATCAGGAAAAATGGAGTAGACAGACATTCGGGTGCTCTCCGATCGACCGTGAGTTTTGGCACGGTCTACCAGCAACGTGCATGACTTAGTACAGATTCTGGATTTTTTGTCGGTCGACCGTAATGATTTCGACGGTCGACCGCCGGACACTGCAATTGAATTTTGGGTTCTATCGCTCTGTCCAGACGACCGCGTCGTCAAGTGCGGTCGTCCGCGATTCGGGTTTGGGCCTGATTTCGTTTTCATGTTTGGTTTGTGTTTGATGTTTGATATAAATTTAAACACACGATTTAGGATTTCTTTGGAACAATCAAGGGTTTGTTTTGAGCAGAAAAAAGAGAGATCTTTCTGAGCTATGGTTTAAGGTTATTATTTGAGAGATTGAGAGCTTTGTTTGTGAGATTAGTTGGTTTGTTTTGAGTGATTTGTAATTTCAGTTTGTACTCTCCTTCTCTATTAGTGAAAACACATCCCATTCTTACCCCGTGGACGTAGACAACTTATCGAATCACGTAAAATTAGTTGTTTGTGTTTGTGCTATTATTTTGTATTGTTTGGCTTTCTCTCTCGGCGTTTGGTTTGGTTCCTCGAAGCATAACTATTGGTGGCTTCCGCGCACAATAATAAATAACCTCTATAACTTACCAATTTTACTTCTCGGATCAACCATTCATGATGATGTAAGAAAGAAGGATTTGTTCATCAAATCGAAATGATTTTTCTAAAAGCTCCAAAAAGCATGCAGCTAGTAAGAATTTAATAATAAATAAGAAGCGATATTTGAAGAGATCAGATAAGGTATCCGTAATAAGATAGATATTGCTCTTACTGAAGATAAAAATAAGAGAACTGATAAAGATGGTTCAGATAATATAGGGACAAATAGGATTGAGAAGTGATATGACTATAATTAGAGGAGCAAAGTGTTGGGGAATGCCCGGGGCTACGCTAAACCCCTAAAACAGCAAGAAACATAGAATAGAGGAAAGTACACCAAGATTTACGAGGTTCGACAAACTTACCTACGTCCTCGGGAGCCACACAATTAATTTCTTATTAATCAAAGAAATTACAATGCAAGAGCAGATCTCAAACTTAAGATCTCTTAATAAATGCTAATTATTACCATAGCTATAGTAATAATTCCCTTCTTTAATTCCCCTCTTTAATTTCCCTCTTTAATTCTCTCCCTCAAAATCAACTATTCCCTTCTTGAATCCTCCCTCAAAATCGAGCTGGAGAAAGAGAAGAGCAGGAGAAAAAGGGGAGGGCCACCGCCGCCAGAGAAGAGAGATCGTGTGAGGAGAGAGAGAGAGAAGAAGCCACGGAGAGAGGTGCTCTAGGTTTCCCTTTTATGGGGAAACCCTAGCAACAAGCTGGCGATAGCCTGTCGCTAGAGCTCGCCTGCAGATCCTCGCTTGAGCTTGCTTGGATCGAGCTCGCACGCTCTTGACTCCATCTGTAGCACCGACCTCGCCGGAAGTCCTCGAGCTTGCCTGCAAGGGGGTTCGACCTCGCCCGAAGGAGCTCGAGCTCGCCTGAAGCGCCGACCTCGCCTGAAGCCCGCTCGAGCTCACCTAACCTTACCTTCGACCTCGCCTGAGGCTCGCCTGACGGTTTGTGTCTACACCCGACACTAACAATCTTCCACTTGGAGACCAAATCGTCGTCAGCAGGCTATCTCAACAATCATCTCCTCATATGTGGTTGCGCCTTCAACACTTATGCTTGAAGGCCAATTGAAATTGCGCACAACTCTAGTTTCTGAAAGGTCACTGTCTTTGCCCGTCTGTCGGTTTGTGTCTACACCCGACACTAACAATCTCCCACTTGGAGACTAAATCGCCATCGGCAGGCTATCTCAATAATCACCTCCTCCTTTATGGCTCCGCCTTCAACTCCTATGCATGAAGGTTAACTAAAATTACGCACAACTCCAGTTTCCGAAAGGTCACTGCCTTTGACAATATATCCGTTGAATTCTTACTTTCTTGGATCTTCTGTTGAAATTCTTTAGCAACTTGTCGGGCTCTGTATCTTCTGGAACCATCATATTCCTTTTTCACTCGATACACCCACTTGTTGTGATGTGCCTTCTTT